ATGATAAGCGGCATTTCATTCAGTGGAAGCATGAATCAGTTGTTATACAGATAATAGGAAAAGTGCAGTTCAGGTCTAGAAAGTAACAGACAAAAGTTATTAGTTAATCAAGATGCTATTGGTGTGGCACATAAATGAAAATGCATATTTGTGACATTCGTTCTGGTGTACCTACAGGGGAGGGAACAGGATAGTTTAGCACAGAGGTTGGTTGGTAACTTTTTGGTAAGTGGAGGAAACTTTCGCATAAACTGTAACATAGAAGTGACTGCCCACTTGACCAACATTGATCCATTTTGTCAACAGAGCTGAATGTTAAAGCAAAAATGTCTAACTTTGTAATACATTTTAGAAATGTTTTGAAGAAAGATATTGAAAGAAAATTCACATTTCATTAGTAGAAATTGCAATCAGCTATATTTTGACGTGATTTTTCAATGATAAGTGATGCTAGCTAGATAACATGAAGTAAATACAAAGTTTAGTCCTGATGCAGGTGGGGTTGGCTGGCACATTGATTCTGAGGATGGTTGGCACACATGTCATCCTGTCCAGGTGTAGGGCCATTGCTACAAACATATGCTGTTTTATATTATACACTGCATACATACTAAATAGCAAACCAACACAACTAAAATGCACTACTGTACTATATTATTGTTTATATTCAATTTACATTCAATTTGTAACAAGTTTGTTTTTACCTATAAGCCTTTTAATGATAAATCTTAAGTATATCTCAAGATGAAAATAACTTTGAACCCAAATGATTTACATACTAAATAAACGTTTATTAGAAAAGATTTAACTTTTATTGATTGTTTAGTATTAATTTGTGATGTCTTAAATACATTAATGCAAGAAATAAAACTTATTCATGAAGCCTGGTTTCTCTTTCTTCTTACTGCTCTTCAACAAAGCCAGTGATAAATTAAACATTTCTAAGATGAAAATGATATAAAAAGTCTGTTTGTCTGTCTTAAATCTTTGAAACTGTAGCTTTTTTATGTTGTGCTACTCATATCATGTACCATGATGGGGCTGGTTTGTACAAGTTTCATCATGAATGCACTAATTCCAGGAAATACTTTCTGACACTGAAAAAAATAGATTTTTATAAGCTAAGATGTTCGCTGCTTTTTGGGTTATCTTAATGTATGGTGGTATGGTGTGCCTTGGACATGGAGGGTAGAGGGTGAAAACTGTGCCAACCAACCCACTCTTCTGTACTTTTAAAGGGTTTAAAGCCCATGTCAACATGGTTTCAAATGTTGAAATTTTTATTTTAATAGCAAAGATGTGCTGCGGAGAAGCACTGACTTGTGTTACATTCAAGAAGTGTATATAAATGAATGGACACAGCAGATAAATACTGTAAAAGTTCTGAGGTCCTGCCTGCTCTTAACTGTGTGGCAGGTCAGAATGTGAAATGATTGACAGTGCTGTCTCCCAGGCAACATAAACAACCGAAGATGCTGCCAATCCACTACATCCTTAGCCTATAGCTAGCTAGCTAACTGCTGCTGCTCCTGAAACCGGTCACTCCCATTATGAGTTAGACAGTCATATTTGCGGACAATGTGGAGAAACTTCTTGTGCGATTTACTGTGTGTCATGCCTGTAAAGTAACTTACAACTGCAGGGAAACCTGTGAGCCTTGATGGGAGGCTAATGTATCATTTTATTCCTGCAGTTAAAGTGGACCACTAGCTTTTGTGCTCTCATAAATGAAATTAACCCCTTAAATGGCCAGGGTCCGCTGGCTGGCCCACGGTTTTATTACACACTTCTATAACCTAAGAACAGCTCAACCAGTCTGCACTGTAGTCCACGTTATTACTGAATTATAAGCCTTAGTATGTAATCAGCCTGTGATTTCAAGGGGTTAATCATTTATGGTAGGATCCACAGGTGGCTAATGCAAGTTCTACAAACAACAATGTAATAAGCCTTAATAATAAGGACTGTTGACAAATTTAGAAAAGCTTAAATAACCTTCTCACTGGTAGTTTTGTTTGGGACTCGAAGCCAGGGGTGTGGCACCAAATTCTGAGCCCCAGTGTGACCAGCTCCCCGGCCCCCTTTTCAATGCTTTCAATATTATATTTCTTTATGAGGTTGGTTGGTATGCATTTAAAAGTTAAACAGCTGACAATTAACAAGTTAAGAATGCTTTGAATTATTAAACTTTCTGTAGTTTTGTAAGAATTAGACTTGAACTCGGGCTCTGTTCAAAACAATCAATGTAAATAGATGGAAATTCAAAAGAGAAAACTTTTTTAAAATATTTAACCATATTTACATCATTTTCAACGAAACTGCACAACAAACGGTTGCTTGGAAGTTGGAACACCTTTTAGTGGCCTACTTTGGTGAGCTCACTTTGTCTCATGTCTTCTCTTGCCTCAGAAATGGAAATGCTCTCTCTCCCTCAGTGACTGCAGCTGCTTCTGGAACTAACAGTATGAGTTTTACAGGTTAGCTGCTGGGCTCAGGTTAACTTCATTGGGTTGTGATCAGCTCGTGTTTGTTACAAATGACTGCAAATTAAGCTAATCGCTATAACTAACCTAGTTAACTTTAGCTCACGTTACTACAACATATTTACAGTTGGGAACTTAAGGCTCGCCTGTTTTCTGAAAGAAACGGGTTAGAATTGGGGGGTGGGGGTTGGGCGGGGTAGGGGGGAGATAATGGCAGTATCATACTATTTGCTAGTACAATAAAATAGAGAACCATAACTAGAAACCAAAATGAATTTATTTCCGAGGCCTTTGCAGGGCTCCCCATTCAGGGAGGAGCCTGGTCAGGTCCATCGTTACCTGCCGTCCGACGTCCCTGCTTGGAGCAGTGGGAGTCACTTTATATGAGGGAGAGGAGTGCGAGTAGCCAAATTTGGTCCCACCCAACTCAGATCGAATAGAAAAAAACGGCAGAGAAACTAATCTAAAAAAACTACAGGTATTAGTGATACGTTTGAAGAAAATCATGAAAATGGGTCAACTAGTTTAAACCAGTTTTGCACACAAGATACTGCTGTAGACTACGTCTTGGAAACCAGTCATTTTTATTCTACCTAAGCAACACCATGTGACCACCTCAAGCTGCTCTACTGCTAGTTATGAATGTATTACCATTAATAAAACCCTAAAAGACAGTACCTTAAGAATATGGAGAGATGGTTTAAAAAAGAGAAAGATAAAACACAAGCTCATTTTCAATTCAAATCCATTTTGGTTTTTATTAATTTTCAGTTCATAACAGCGAGAGTCAATTATAACAATAATAAATGTGCATAAAACATTTTTTTTAAAACATAGTTACAAGATCTTACAGCAACTGTAAGCAAAGAGTGGGCGTGAGATTACATGGTGAGCGTTAAGCGTCCATTAAAGCGGGTGCTTTCAGCAGGTAGGACCACCTGTGGTTTAGCTGTGGCAGACGCAGCGTAGCACATAGCACTGCGTCTGTTTGAGGGGAGTGATGCTTTGGTTTATTAGCACTTGTGCAGCAGCCTTAGAGTGAGTAAAAAGCTCAAACGGAGATCAGGAGGTTACATTCATCTGTGTTTCCTTAGTTTTGGTGGGTGTCCATGTCCTGCTGAAGGCACAGTTGCCTACTATAACACAAGGGAACGTACTGTGTATGTGCGCAGTATGTTGTGTAAGGCTTATGCTAGCATATCGGGTCTTTTGGAAGTTATTACCTTTTTGTTTTTTATCACATCTACCATTATGGTCGAATGGATTCGGGTGAACGTGTTTTACTTCGGATTTAAAACACTGAATGTATGCTCATACTTGTCAATAGTAGACTATTATTATTATTACTCTTTTACTGTTATTATTTTGCACTGTTTACATAATTTGTGACTATGAATTGAAGTATTGTGAGAACTTACTGACCTACCTACTTATCTATAATGTGGGTTTTATCATGTTAAATCTTCTCTACATGCAGTTAACAATGTCCAGGCTCAAGTCAAATACATTTTTTTGTTGTTTTTTTTGTAAGAGAGTTACAGAAATCTTTTCTTTTCCCCCACAGAGGAGCACAACAATGAGACACAATGCTAGCATGTGGTAAAGAGGGAGAAAGGCCTGCTGCCAACTTCATAAGGAAATCCAATCCTCAGATTTCACAGGTATGACATGCAAAAAAGACGCTTTGCATCTTTAAGACTTTCTGTCAGAAATTCAGCAAAATGTAACTTCATCCCAGCCAGCCAGCTGCGCAAAATCTATCACTACAGAAATATATATTGAATATAGTCATACTTGGTTGCAGTTAAGCTGATATTAAAGGTGAATTCCATCGATTTTCTGCATAATTCAATAGTTGAGATGTAGACAAAGTCATTCAGAGTGGTTTGGTGTGAAATCTGTTCTACAGAAACTCGCAGAGTCCGAATTGTTTACAGTGGTGGTGATAAGAACCAGGCAACCACCTCTAAAAGCTCCCTTACTGAAAGTTATGAAATGCTGCCTGATGCCTGAAACATAGTTTCATAATAGTTTTGCGATACAATTTTGGCCTAAAATTTATTTTTTAAGCACATGCTGCATGGAGAGATGTGGGTGGGGCGTTATAAGGTAGTAGTACCCAAAGATTTTAGATTTACGAATATTTTACCATTACTAACAATATATATAAAAATTAAAGACTCAAATGTTTTGGATATTAAATAAAATGTCGGTGCAGACGCCATGACCTCTGGTTCCCATCACACTACTGTAAAGAAAGTCTGTAAGTTTAGCCATTTTCTCTAGAGCAGAGCATTTCACATCAAACTGCAGAAGTTTGAATGTAATTGTTTAGTAACTTTGTTTATTATTGAGCTACTTTGAGAAATTTCTTACAGAAAGACAGAGCTCATGTAAAAGCATCTGCTTTTCTTGCATGACATACATGTAAAACATGAGCTTACTCACCAAAATTGGGTTGGCACTGACCTTCAAATGACAGGCAGCACATGTAATTAAGGCGGAGCAACGCTTAGCTTTTTTTTTTTCCTTTTCTGTCCTTTTTTTTAAGCGATGATCTGAAGTAATAATAAAAACAGCTGTGCCACTTCTGCAAGCATAGTCTGTTAGCTGGTCTATTACTCTATTCCTTAAATTATCCTAACAAAATTTCTCATAGAATCTTTTATTATTCAAAATAAGATCTCCATATTATACATGTTTCTTTTCTTTGTTTTATATTGACTATGTACAGAAGTGCAAAAAGTCAACCTTTGTCCCTTGGGTTATGGCTCTCTCTCTCGCTTTCAGCCAAAGTCCCTGCCCTCGGAGGCACAACCCTACAATGTCATCATCTTAGCATCTTAGTAAATATTCAAAATTCTCTGGATATATGCTGCTGCTCATTTTTCTGGCCTGACATTCAGGGATGCTTGAAATATATCAAAATACGATTTTATGTCTCTGAAATGGATACAGTAGAAAATAAGTTTTTTTTTTTTGTTTGTTTTTTACTCTAGCACAAATGATCAACATGTTAACTAAATATTTTGAAACGATCTCGATTTGTTACATACAAAATGAAATTTGTTAAATTAACAACTGCCATACTGCCTCCGTTCAATAAGTACAACTCAAAATCAATATCAAAACAATCAATATCAGATTGAAACAGAGAATTCAGAAAGGAGAAATGTCAAACATTCTAACATCAATCTTCAATAAAAAGTTAAATGTACAACATAAATCGCTGAAAGTCCCTAAACATGAATTGTTTGAAATAAAAATGAGAATGAAAAAAAAAATATATAGTAGAATACATATCTTACGGTCTAAAACAGTTCTATGACAATATTATCAAATACAAAATAAATGAGTTCCACAAACTAAACATGCAAACATGTAGCAATATGTTTCTATCTACGTTTTTTTTTTTGAAGTAAAAGTGAGCGGTAAGTGTAGTATGATTAATAATAAAAGAAAATATACGTGAACTAGAGCATTTGCGATTTGAGAGAACATTAACTGAAATCTAAGGCCTCAGTGAAGGAACAGCGAGAACACCAGAGTTGGAGTCAATTCCATTTCAGTTCAGTCGATTCTGTTTCAACTTACAATTGACAACATTCAGTGATGCATTTTTAAAGCATTAATTTTTTAAATAATTTAAATCACTTTGTGCATTAAATTGATCGAACTGAACCCAAACCCTTTTGTACACCAAAAAAAAAAGAAAGATTTAGTCTCTACAACATTGTTCTATGTCTAGAACCAATTGAGAGTCTGGAATTTCTTCAGAAGAGCCATATCTTTGAAATTTGAAGCAATGAAACTTCATTCGTATGTCTGATAACCAGGCTTGGCTTTGGCCAAACCTACTGAGATAAAGAGTGCACTAAAATAAAGAGGAAAATGACTTTGGCACAACTTAACAGTGACTTAATGTTTGACATTATTTATCTTTTTTTGCTGTACATAGGCTAAAGGCTGTCTGAGATTAGAAATCATAAAATAAAAACACAAATGGCACAAAATCAGTACAAAAAAGAAAATGCCCCCCCCAAAGAAAAACCTGAACCAAATATATATCTGGTCTTCCCATATACAAAACAAATCTAAAGTCTAAACACAATCAATCTGTAACCAACCACACCATTTCAAGCAGTGCTTTTTTCAGCATTTTAGAGTCCCTGCTCTGGGGACTGGAAACAGTCTCTAAACTCCAAGACAGACTCTTCGAACAAGTTTGTTAACTTGAAAATGTAAAGACATGCGGTGATTACCGATACCCATTCTCCATTTCATCATCAATAAAAAGACACTCCATCAGATGAGGCTATAAATATATATATATATATATATATATATATATATATATATATATATATATATATATACACATGGCAACAGGAAGGAAAAGGCAACCCTGTTTTCATGCAAGTTGAAAGCCTAATAAGAACTACAAGGCTGAATGGAGAAGCCATCACAAGCATTACAGACAAATAACAATAAAAATTCATTAAAAACAAAACAAAACAAAACAAAACAAAAAACCTCACACGGTTATGAAATTATGTATAAAAACAAGAGCCTTAAAAACAATCTCTGGTAAATAGAATAACACTGCCGATATAACACTTTCTGACTGTGTGGTGTGTAGCCCATGTGAAGCTTGGTAAGATGTGCTTTGAAAAGGTCAGAAGGATTCTGTTTTGTTTTTTTTTTAACCCGAAACATTCATTAGTCTTCTTTTATCCTGATCTTTTGTCCACCAGCTAGCTCGACTAGAGGTCAGAACTGTAAATGCAGCAAACTACTTGACTGTTTTGCTGAATGTATTGTGCCATGTAGAATTGTAATTCGCTTTAAATTCAAGGTGCATCTTTCCAAATTGTGTAAACCATATGGTAAATCAGTAACGCTTCACTTGACGTTACAATTAACGCATCTTATAAACAATTATAATACACCTATATTGGCTAAAAGTATTTCGCTGTGACTACTTACAAAACAAATGGTGATCTATAGTTAAACACAGATCAATAGGCATCGACATATAGGCGTTGAATATATGGTTCGATAGGCATAATGTGTTAAAATGCAGTACACCACACTAGGGGGTATCCAGACTAATGTGCTGTAATGGGCGAACTTCACAGGTACTCTAATTAAGACTGGAAGGTGAACTGTATGTGCTGTTACAGGTACACAAGCACAAACATGGACCTGCTTCTTCCATTTACATTTGAAGAAACACTGCTTCTGTATGTTCCTATTGTTAACCCACACTCTAGTCTCGAGGGATCTCGTAACAAGAACGTCTGGGGACAACTATGAGAAATTTTGGGCTTAATGTTGGTGAGACTGTGGACCTATCAGGGTATAAACATGTGTGACATTTCTAAACCATACCAACACCTAATCAAGGTGGGGCTCAAAGGTTAGAGAGCAATGGTGCGCTCTTCTACACTGTCCACTCAACAAGTTTGTTGTTAGCCAGTTAGGCCTTTGGACCTTAGCATGGCTGAAAAGTCGCCCAAGAAGCTCCAGTTAAGCATGTAGATGTGCAGAGAACAAATTCATGCAGTAAAAAATAAACATGACCTCTTTCAAAAGAAAAACAGTTCCATTAGCTAACAGTAGCGCTTTGCTAGCTAGCTTGTTTTGCTTTTGTTATTGATTATACTTAGGACATTAAAAGAGCACAGATTAGAGGAATGTGGGTGCGAGTTTTAGAGGGAGCGTTGGACCCACCGACTTGGTTGGTTTCATCCACCTTCCAACTCGACCTCTGGGCCTGATCTTGTTTACAGCAGATTTTGCCGCAATCCAGCACCAAAATTTTAACAAGTTGTCCCCAAGTTGTGATCTTGTAACAAGATTCTACGTCTGTCCCAGCAAGACTATTCACACCGACCTTCGTAAATCACTTAATAGTGACTTTAACCACTACAATGGCCATATTACATAATTCACTACAAGATACTGTGTCTGTCTGTCTTTTTAAGACATTTTAATACTTTACTCCAGGTTCCTGAACATGGACTAAGCCCAGTTTTTGTCTAATTCCAATGCAATCTGGATCTGGAAAACCAGCTCTATAATTTTAACGTTAAGTAAAGTGTTACTGGCGAATCAATTTCAAGATGAATTTGAAAAAGAAGTCAATAAAAAAGAATCTCTTGGTCTGTCAACGTACCAGCACTATACATGCTAAGACACGATGCCAGCAGACTGCTTTTGTGTACATGTGTGTCTCGGCCAGTTGTATGTACAGCTGTTCTTCCAAGTTCTACATATCACATCTAAGGGCACTCCATTTTTCTGCTGATAAGTGTACTGTAGACTAGTCCTTTAAATGTTCTTATCAGTGAACTAGTAATACCACAAGAGGGTATATTTGATTAGTATAAATTCGACTGTTCTAATGTTTGAAATGTTGACATTTACATTTGTTGGCATTAAGTTGTTTGTGTTTGTCCCAGGTAATGGGTCAGCACATTCATTTGATCTGGAAAAAAAAACAACAAAGAAGCATGTGAAAAATAAGTGAAATGAGTAACAGTTTAAATTTAATCTTATTGTCACTGTCACAATAAAACCTTGCATATCTGAAATAGAGTTCTTAAATTTAAGTTAATATAATGAGATTTTATTCAAAGTAATTTTGGACCATTTCTATAAAACGTTCAGACAGATGTACAGGGCAGCCTGCATTTTGAAAGAAACAAGGACACAATGTCACTGATGCAAAGCACTGCTCTTATGAAGCATCAAAGGCTATTTGATGTTTATTTACTTGTGGAAGACTCTCAGTCTGCTAAACATGACTGTGGTAATGTCTATCTGAGTGCTTGAGTTACATCTAAAAATGACCAAAATGGAGTTGTGAGGTTTTGATATGACAGCGACAACATGCAAACTACTTCATTGGTGACAAAAACTACTGCCTCATTCAATTATTTTTTGAAGAATTTTGCCCAAAAAGGACCCCCAAAAGGTTTACACTTAAAGTAGAAGCACTAGAATGGAATCTCAGAACAGTACAGTTGAAGCTAACGCTCACAAGATTCACACTGGCAGAACCAAGCTGCTTCATATCAGCTATCCCCATCTGCTAAATGCATTAAACCAGAGGTGTCAAACTGGGTTCCTTCTGGGTCAGAACTCTGCAGAGATTAGTGTATTCCCTCATCTAAACCTTGTCCTGCTAGTGCCAGAGCACTGATGTTCTACCTGAACAAAATGACTGAAGTTAAGCCAGCTGCTATTTGACAAAATAGGGTTAAACCAGACAAAAATTGATGAGGAGAAGCTAAACCACAAGGCGGAGAACAGAACTGTATGACCCTTGCTTTAATAAGGATATTTATCCGAAGGAACCGTCACGTCAGTAATCCTTTCTGAGAATTTGGTGATGGCCCTTTAAACTCCTTTAATTCTGCCACCAGAGGAGTTACGACGCATGTATGTCCACACTGGCCACAGTGAAATGTATCAGCATGTAGAATCAGAGGCTTCTCTGTGCTACCATATTTTCTATCACTGTATAAAAGATACACAAGGCTTCCTTTGCTGTAGGATGTCCTGTGATTTTCCATTTGAGCAAAAGTGCATGCTCATTCAGAGCACAGTTGGGATCGGTAAGCGCTTACTATTGACTGGGTTTATCAGAGTAATGATCAAACTTGACTGCTGTGCAACTTGCATTGCATTTACGCTTGTAGTTTGGTTCCTTTGGTCCGGACCAAAGCAGGAAAGGATACATTGTTGTATTTTAATTCTGGTTTGCTTAGCTTTCACACTGATATTTTTGGCATCAAACCAAAGCTGTAAGCAAAAGTCATCTGGATAAAAAGTGTGAACACACCCTTAAATACCCATTCATATGTTTTCTTGTTCAAAAAGGTAACTTGTGGGACAAAATAAATAAAAACCGAAGCCGGATTTTCGGCTTTGTGAGATCATGTTCTTTACATATCAAATAAATGCAACAACAGCTCTGAGACATCATGTTATTAACAGAGAGAAGCAGATTAAACAGCACAAATAGCTGTATTTGCTTTGGCCTTAAAGAGTTAACTGAAAGGAGATGATTCATAGCGAAATTGCTTTAGAGCTAAATGTTTAAGGTAATAGTGCTGTGGCCTGGAAGGAACCCAGTTTCACACCCCTGCATTAAACAATAAACAACAATGGAAAGATTTAGAAATAAAACTGCTTGGAAATAGAAACTAAAGGATTACACTCACTGGTCTGGACTGTGACTACATCTGAGTCAAGTACTTGTGACTAGTCAGATGCTCTGCAGATATTATTGGAATCTAAAGAAGGACACAAAAAACACATTAGTACAAATAGGTATTTTTGAACACTGCTACCAATGCAAAAGTCTGACAATTTTTCCAAACATTTTCTGTTTTAAAAGCTGAAAAGAAAAAAGATTGGAATTAAACTTGACCAAGTACCAAAAAGGGACAAAACTGAGGCCTGTTGCTTATTAGTATAAGCTTTTTTAAAAAAAGGAGAAAGGAAAAAGGCAGGTGTTCTACATGCACATTCCAGTCTTCCTGCTTGTTGACCTGGGCAATAAAATTGCAGTTCTGTGATGACTGATTAGTAGCCCTTAATCAGGGCTTAGGAGGTACCTGAGGAATTGAGTGATTTAGGTAGCCTTTCACATCATAAAATAAATTGCCTAAAGTAGTTCATTCTTCATATACTTCATATGGAAAATCTCATGTGAGTAAATGTAGGCCTGTGCCAGTACCAGAGTCCTCTTATTTGGGTAACCATGTGGAAAACAACTGCGGTGAATGGTTTAACCATATATTTTTTAATCAAACAATATAATAATAATAATAGCAGCACTTTTTTGTCTGGTAATTTTGAGATGGTCCCTGGCTCCGAAGCAGAATCAAACACAATGATGAGTTGAAACTTAATCTTTGTCTAATAAAAGAACATAATAAAAGCGCAGTTCAGTACAAATTTGGGGTTGTAATATACTGTTATCTTAGATTTAGCTATGAAACTGTAATTAATGTTAAAATAAAGAAAGGAATTGAAAATGTCAGGTGAACCATCTGAGCCTGCTTAGCCTTCTTCTCTGAAGGCTGTTTAAAATGGGCCAATTTGCCTAATGTACAAGAGCTAAGACATGATTTTCTGTATTTTTCCTGAGATTTGAAGTTGTCTGATGTGTGAAACCTGACGCTGTAGTATGTGGTTGTCGCATGTATGTCCACACTGGCCGTAACATATCTACTTGCAGCACCGAGCATGTTTAACCAGTGCAGCTCAGCAGCTGCGTTCATCTGCATTAGGTTCATTAAATGTGGTACTGATGTAGGACATTAATTCACCCAACATAGTGCAAAAGTATTAAACCTCCTTAAAATTCATCAGAATCGTCTCATTACAAATGACACTGATATTTTGTGCTGTGTCATATTTTAAAAAATGGACCCTTAAAATGAACTAATTTAAAGTGATATTAGTTGATGTAAGAAAATATTCTGTGATTAAAGAATGACTAACTGAAAAATGCTGTATTCAACTCCCTGCTGTGAAAGCTCCTAGTTTACATAGATGAAAAACATTGCCATAACAAGGACACAATTGGCTTACAATTGGCCTCTACTTGAGAATCATTCCAAAAAGTTCACCTCTTCTAGATAAAAAGGTGCAAGGTGCAAGAAGGGGGCTTGTGAGGGAGGCCTCAGAGAGGCCAACAATAGGGGTCTGTGGCACTATTTGAAAAATGTCATCCGACCAACCTAAACAACCTGGTGCAAATCTGCCAGGAAGAATGGGCAGAAATCACTCCCATACTGTTTGCAAAGGTGATAGAAACAGACTCAAAGCTGTTAATGTAGCAAAAGGTGGTCCTACCAAGTACTAGTCTGAAGGGTTGAATATTTGTACAAGCAGCATTTTTTAAAGATTTTTGGCTCTGAAAATTCACTTTGAGAGCATACTGGTTTGCAGTAAAAAAAATACTGGCTGGAACAATTTGTGTAAGTGTCTTTAATATGGTGGTACCCTGGTTGACTGGCACCTGGCATAGGTCTAGGTAAATGTGACACTGAGAATAGTGCAAAGCTTTTGGTGTTTACGTGTGATTATTGACTGGGAAAAATAAATCCTCCAAAGTGTGTAAAATTGTAAAAGATTAACACAACCTGCATGTATGTAACTAACATGACCAAGATTTTTTTTTATATGAAAAACTACCATATACATACCAATTGCATGTATTCGTTGGTAGTCAGCTTTGATAGAGAAGAGTCCTCAAAGTGAAAAGGGACAAAAAGGACAATATTAAAATGCTATTCATCATTGCAAACAAATCAAAAAGCAACTCCACCAAAAAAAATACTGAAAAATTTACAAGTGGTGTTAACATGATGATAGACAGAATGAAGTCTATAGATTACAATCCACCATGAGTAAATACTTTGATAACTGCAACACTTTCCTCACTATTAATGATATGTTGAACAAGTGCTGTTTTATGCGATTTGGTGACCAAATATGTTATATATTGACACTGATAACAGTCAATAATAAATAAAAGAAGTGTAGGCCAACAAGAGGGAGAGATGAGAGATGACCCTCCAAACAGTCTGAATCATCCCTCAGGGTTTGTGGACCAAGAGAGATAGAGAGAGGGAAAAAAGGAAAAATGAGAGAGAGCCATAAAGGGGGCAAACCTGATTGGCTGATGCAGATGCGAAGGGAACACTAGTGGCGGACGTGGTTGCTGCGGACACAGCGGCCGGTGAAGCGCCGTGCATCATGGGTACTTTTCAGAGGGAAAATCATGTAAGCACACATACAAAGGAGTGTGGCCAACAGGTGTACACATGTGAAGGGGAAAAAGTGTGTATGAGTAGATGGGGTTGGGAAAGGAGAGCGAGAAAGCCTCCCTACACAATAAAATCACCCATGGTAAACCAAAAGACTAGCTACTTTGACAAAAACATGCTAATGTGGCTAACAAAGAATGAAACATAGCAAATAACGAAAGCATGGTCTCATTAGCCTCGTAGCTTTTGGCTATATTATGTACAAGTTCACTGTTTCACCTCATTTGGTCTCATTCACTGTTAGCCATATTAGCATTTTTAGTCAAGCTAGCTCCTATACGCAAGATACAGTAGTAACCAACAGAGCGGTTAAACACAGTACTTTTTGATTTACTGTTGGTGATTTTGTTGTGTAGAGTTTACAGCAGAAAGGCAATATAAGAAAACTGAGGTAAACTTGTGTATATCAGGAAACCATAGTGTCATGTGAGCTGATACATTAAGAGCTGAACAGAAGAGAAATGCAAGGCACGACAGTTCATAAACACTCATTTCAAAGTAAACAATAAACAGATTCTAACAAATCAGTAGAATTTTCCAGCATCTACAGCACATACAGTACTATGAAAAAGTCAGTGATCACCCTTCATTTATTTTATTTTCAGAACGGCCATTAAAATATTAGATAGTATTAGATATTAGATTTGCATGAGGAAGGAAAATAAGAAGTTTCCAAAACTGGAGTACTGAAAGATATAGAGGAAATGAGACCCTTAACAACCATGCAAGAGCTGGTAGACCACAAAAATTGTCACTGCCTGATAAACAGGAGAAAATCAAGCTCCACTATTGCTTTAGATCTGAAAAAATCTATAGATGTTTCTGTCCATCCTTTCACTGAGAGAAGACAACTCAATGGGTCTGAAAGGATGTGTAGCTGTCAAGAACCAGAGCCTTCAACATGATTAAATGTGTTTGGGATTCCTAGGATTGAGAGAAGCAAAAAATGCAACCAACTTCTAAGACCGAACTTAGGAGGTGTGGAAAAATGTCCCTGCAGAAAATATAAAAGCAAGTCTCTCTTGAAGAATATAAGCTGTAATAAAAGCAAAGTGTGGACACACTAAATATTGAAAAAAAAAAAAGATACTCAGTTGTTGATGCTTCTGTGTAAATTTTGGTTAAATACACTTTCTGTTCTTTCCTGATGCTGAAAAATGAGTAACTTGTACTTATTGGCCGTTTTGACTGGAAATTAAGTAAATGAAAGGTAGCCTCCGATTTTTCCACAGTACTGTAAGTGCTTGGACCCCTAAACATTGCCATTATCATTGATGTCAGCATTGCAAATCAACACACTGTGACCTTCATTCTACAGAGTTAAGTCCCCATTATCAATCATGTGTCTCACAAACCACCAAAACCCACATTACTCAAAAACTGGTGGCTGTGGAGCAATGTACAATAAGCTGATGCAGAATTATTTTCAAGAAATCGGGCAAAATGTATTTTTTTTGGAATTGAAAAACCCATTTGTTTCTGTGCTACCTGCAGAACCCAAAAATTAGTACGTCATCTGACGAGTCAGTGAGTGTAGGGTTGTATTATATGGAATTAGCATGAGTTGTGTGGATTTTGATGGTGTGAGAGCAGCCGAAAGGGAGGAAGGCTAGAGACCTACCCACACTCGCTGCAGGAGTCATGCACAATATTGAGCCTGCCCATCATGCATTGCAACAGGAAGTGGATTGGAAAAAGGGAGAAGAATCAAAACAGCCCATCACAAGGTTGGTTAGATCAAAGAAAGACGACAACACAAAGGAAAACATTAAAAAAAAAAACTATAGGGAATCATGACATTCACAAAGGTTGATTAGTTGTGGAACGTGTGATCTACAGTGGGGAAGCGAGAGGGAAGTGAACTTGTAAGTGTGAGGCTGCTCAGCAAGACAATAATGAGCTTTTAGAACAGTGATGAGACTATAAAGCACCCTCAAACACAGAACTACTACTATATTTACTACTACAATTGCAATTTTAGTAATGACATCAAAAAGACATTATTAGCCCATGTCACATGTCTCACAGTGATAGTTTGGGACCAGAGTCCATCATTATCAAGCATCTCAGAGTAAGAACACATACGGTAAGAATAAGAATGTACACATCTGGGTCCATAATTGTCAAGAATCTCAAAATGAGCATGCTGATCTAGGATCAGGTTCCTGGCCCATCAGTATGAATGTATTCATTTGGACATATAAGACAAACCTAGTCCTGGATCAGAGCTCTTACTCTCAGACATTTGTTAACCACAAGTTCAAAGGTATTTTATCCGAGTGTGACATACAGCAAAGGTTTCAGCTTCCTTTGTCAAATGACATGTTTTGTGGATTTTTTAAGTGAAAATAAATTAACCTCTATAGAGAACTAACTTCTACACATTTTAATGCACAATTAAAAAAATAAAGTCTACAGTCTGAATTTAACATAGTGGGGAAAAAAATAAAACACAAAATGTGGCCAGTGCAAAATGACACATTTTATATTTTATGTTTTATTTTTTCCAGTGTGTTAAACTCAGCAAATAAATAGAAATTGTGCACTAAAATGTGCAGAAAAATGTCATATGTATGTGCCTCTAGAGAACATGTTCACTTATTTTCACTTAGAAAATTAACAAAACATTTATTTAACAGGGGTTGTTCAAGCTTTTGCACACAATTATATATGGACCTTTATAAATGTAGTAATTGTAGCTAAAATATTAGAATATTTTCCTCAAATGTAGTTGATCAGCCAAGATATGTTTGGTGTCCAAATTTTGTTTCTTTAGTTCAGTGCTGCAGCTGCAAGGCTAGAGTTGCTAACAAACATTACATATCAATAGTCACCCAAATCCTTTCTGTACATACATCCTCAAAACTTCTCTCAACACACTCAAACCACATCCAGCTCTTCACTAAAGTTGCACAGACATATGTTTATAAGAGAGACGTTTTGGGGATGTCTTTACAGAAAAGATTTGGGTGACTGTTGACTTCTAGCATTTGATAGCAATGTTAGCTCCAGCACTAAACTAAAGAAGCACAACTGCACACCAAATATGTCTTGGCTGAGTGGTTATATCTAGATAAGTAGAAAAATGTGTACATTTGATTCATTTCTGAACCATATCTTTAATTATGACTGACAACCAAAGTATTTTTAATCTTTGTGCAACTGAATATTCATTTCATTCATTCATATTCACAATAAAATACTGAAAAGCACTAAAATCACATTGTTAAAACATTTCTGTTCAGTGTATCCCCACACCTTAAACTTACCCCCAGAATAATCAGTGTAGGAGTGTTCTTATGTGGTTTAAACGCAATTGAGCTCATTCAAAATTTAACTTATGATAAATGATGTACTTTTTTTTAAACTAAATGTAAACATAGTACAGAAATATAATGTGTACACTCATATGTACGTCATATGATGTTTCATTAATTTTCTAAGTGAAAATAAGTTAACACATTCTCCACACAGAACACACTTTTGCTCATTTTAATGCACAATTACTGTTTATTTACTGAACTGAACATATTGGGAAAAAAATAAGACATAAAATGTGGCCTGTGCAAAAGTTATGGCACATTGTATGTCTTATCTTTTATTTTTTTCCAATATGCTAAACACACAGAAATTATGTGCTAAAATTAGCAAATAAATTACTTATTTAATTTTGACTTATTCCTAAAATGTTAACTTCTTTTCACTTTGAAAATCAACAAAACATGTAATTTGGCCAGGGGCCAAACTAGTGCATACTGCAACTAAGTTGGACAAGCTTTACAGAATATTAGCTATTCCCATTCAACCTAAAAAAAATTAAACTAATCAGTTTCCAATTTTAAATAACTTTTAGCTCAGCTGTTAGCTAATTGAATTTAGGCAGGTTGGCAGTGAATTGGCTATTGACTATGCTAATGTTAACCTGATTACGCAACAAAAGTACATCTGATCTATCCTAACTGTGTGATCATTCACATGCATGTTAAATCAGTACATATTTTTACAAAAACGAACGTCTGCGTTGCGATGTCTCTTAACTGAATGGGATTTTTGGCAGTGCTCTGTAAAGCTTGTCCAACCTCACAACAATTGCTACTAAAGAATACAACTGTGGGTGGAGCTTTGATTAGTCAATTCCTGAAAAAAAGTTACAATGATGGAATCATGTTGGTGCGTTCACATGTGTGCATCTTCATGAGCCTCCGAAGTCTTCCTTTGCGCAATTCACTACCTGCTCTGAATAGATTTAGCCATTCTAAAACCTTTTTTGTTGGCCCTGGGGTGAAAAGTCACATCAGGGGTGACAGGAAGCCCTACCTGAAGGAATAAATGCTGCCTGCTGCTGAAACTGCATGTTGGCCAGAGCCTGTTGGTACTGCAGCATGCCAGCATTGAACATGGTGGTGGCACCGTTGGTTTTCTCAAGGGCTGGTCTCTTTGGCAAAGGAGGCATTACGCTATGAGGGATGCCCTGCTCGGCATGTGGGGAAAAAACGTGGGACAAAGATGGAGTGGACAATAACAAAAGAAAGGAAAGGGAAGAGAAAATAAACAAGTGTTATTGTCAGAAGACATGACAGTATAGCACAAAAACGAAAAAAAAAAACAAACCAAAACAAAAACTAAACAGCAGGCAAGCAGCAGCCTACACGTGACTACGCCACAAGCAGAAGCAATAGTGCCAAATCTGACTAGATATATACACGACAACACATATACGGCTTCAAACATACATGAACTACATTAGCATACTACTTCCACTATTTACGTGACTATTGCTAGCTAAGCTGGCTCCAGTGCAAATGAAGCAAGCGCTGCTCTACTAAAAATGTACCGCAGACAAAGAGGGACAAAAAAGAAATAAATAAACAAATAAATAAAGACAGAAACTGAAAAGAAAACAAAGCTGCACTGCTTTCTCCATGATATCTGCGAAATATGAGACATAAGTTATTAATTTGTTGCTCAGGTGGCTACCACATAGCTGATACCCAGACTGCCAGTGTATTTACTCCCCAGTTACCCAGTTACCCATGCACTACAGAGCTACTGAACATGCATAATACACAGACGCTGAAGTAAACGTAGATACTGTACAGACACAAGAGCCATGACACACCAGTTTAGTATGCCTGATCCTGACCTATATGCTGTAGGAGTAGGCTACACGTGATGACCTGATTGTGGTTTTCGTAAAACTTAAAAGTCCTTTTTGAACTTGTTTATGTTTAGGTTTTTGTGTAGCTCTTAAAGACATCCCAATCAAATCTTATTTTTGTTTTATTTTAGCTTCCATGCAAGCAATGGCTGTAGAAACTTACAATATGATGGGAGCTGACTGGAATAAAAAATACATACTGGATTTGGGTCTTTTATGAACGTAGGACATAAGGATGGGCATTTTAAACACTTAAGCTACTTAGATACCTGCATGTTTTCAACAGTTTTAAACTATGCCAATAAAAATGTGTTATACTGTTATGAATACAATGATAATACGTATGATAAACTTGAGACAGTGCTTTTAATGGCCATTTTCCAACATCTATTTATCCCTTAGAATTAAACAGGCTGTTTTTGTTACCGTACCTTTAAGACTGGTATATGTAAAGGATGTTCTGATTGGCTGTGCTGTATTTATTAAAAAGCACTCTGTGCTGAAACATTCCTTATAACTTCAATGTGAATTGGCAGAGCTAATCTGCTGTAGGTTGAATATAATAGCTTTATATCATGGTATACTATATATAATATAATATATACACTGTGTAAGCTTTGGGGATTTGGAGACCTCTCTGGTAGAAAAGCGTAATTACACGCAACGTGCAAAAGAACACTTTGGAATGTAGGTTGTGCTTCAGACCTCTTTCCCGAGAGAAGGAATCCGATGATTGCAATTCATAAAATAGTAATTGTAAAATTACTATTTCAGGCTTTATAGGGCTCACAGATGCACACGCACACCATATGTTAGTGTGTTTTTTTTACGATTAACTTTTTTTACTTTATTTTTTTATATGAAGTTACATGTGCTTTATTCAAATACCTCATTAAGTAAGTGAATAAGTTCAGATATCAGTATATTTGATTACTCATCCTTATATGGGTATTTTGTGATACTATATTGTGATGCAAATCATTGTAATTCTCCACAATCAGCTGATCACAAAAGTTATTAAAACAGCAGTAGGAAGAGAACACAAAGCCAATAAATAAAACAGAAAGAAAAAAAAAAAGTTCTACGCTTGCAAATTATCGTTTGTTAAGACACTACGACAAAGCAACATGCCAAGCAAAAAGGTGAAAGGTCATAGTACCAGGTCAAAGGTGGCCTCGAGGGGTCGCTTCAGTGATTTGACAGCCGTCTTAATTAGCAGGCAGCGAGCACATGATGGCAATGGGCCAATGGGGTTCAAGCGCATAAACATAAACAGCAAGCAGAGGTGCATCATGGGGGCAGCAGTGCATTTTGGGTGGGTGAGAAAAAAAAACAAATAAAAACAAATCATTTGGAATGCAGTATACAAAGGGGATATCAGGACTATGACATGCACTTTAAAGTCATTTAGGAAAGTCTACTGAAGTATAGTAGATTAATACTTAAAGCTACATTGACTACAGTATCAGTATCACAGGGGTGCTGCCAACTACAGTATTTGACATCTGGAGAGCATCATAAATTTCACAGTTCTCAAAATGAAAATACAACACATTGCATAATATTACACAGTGTTACACCAACCCACTAAATGTGATTTATACACTTTAAGTACTAGTCAGATGAGATTAGTTTTACATGGGGAAATTTGACATGGGGCATAATGCAATGATCACTAGTGATTTTAGCCCAGTATGAATATACTGCGTCAGTAATTTTCACAGATTTTTACGTCAGTAATAATTTCGACAGCATTGATCTGCTATAGAATGAACTGTAGAAATAACCCCAGGTTATGTTAGTACTGTGCTACAAAACATACCATAGAAATAACCTCAGTTACATTAATCTTGTGTTATAAGAAGTACCATAGAAATAACCCCAGGTTATCCCATGCTGTGAAAAAACAAAACAGGTTATATTAATCCTATGCTTTAAAACACATCATAGAAATAACACCAGTTTTTTTCACCCCTATGCCATGTTATAAAATGTACCATAGAAATAACTCAAGATTATATTTATCCTGTGTTATAAAGCAAAAAAGTAACCCCAGGTTATATTAATCTGTGCTAGAAAATGTATCCTAGAAATGTCTCCAAAATACATTAATCCCATGCCATAAAATGGAAATATTCTCAGGTTATATTAATCCCGTGCTTTAAAATGTACCATAGAAATAACCTCAGGTTATATTAATCCCTTGTTACAAAAGCATGGCTCTGCACATTAAAATATGAAAAATGACAGAAAACAAGTTGATTTTATGGGGTGATGCTGACTGCTTACTGTAAATTCCCAAGCTAAGGACAATGCGAGTGACCCACTTCATTCACTTAAGAAAAGGTAAAAGTAAATGAAATTACAATTAAACGTTTGTAATAATGTCTACTTGTGAGCAGTGGAAACCTTCGCAAATGGAACTCTTTTGGTGTGAGTAGCCGGTCCAATCTCTGTAATTTATATGTTGATTTCATATCCCGTGCGAATCAATCATAAACATTACAGATGTCCTGTGTTATAATTACATTGCACCCCATGTAAAACTACTCCCATCCCAAGAGTACTTCAGTCTCTATTACATTAGAATGCTCATATCACCCCCTAGTGGACAGAAGTGAATGGGTTGACCTGTACATTCTCACACAACACTATAGGAATCAGTCTGTGGAACAGAATCATGAAACACAGTGTGCTCTGAAACATTATTTTAAGAGGCACTTTACTAGGATTATAATTGTAAGACATATTCATATGGCATACACTATATGTCTAAAAATGTGCAGACAAATGCTGATCCAACGTTTGTTCTGAAATGAAGTATTAATAGAGAGTTTGTCCCTGCGTTGCTGCGGTAACAGTCTCTACTCTTCTCGGAAGGGTTTACACTTGATGTTGGAACATTGCTGATTTGATTTGATTTGATTTGCAGATTTGATTGCATTTAGCCACAAGAGCATTACTAAGGTCAGGTACTGATTTCTAACAAAAACGCCACTCTGACTCATCCCAAAGGCACTGGAGCGAGCTCCATCACTCCAGGAAACTCAGTTTAACTACTCCTTAGCCCAGGGGTGGGGGGCTTTATGCTTTGTATCCCTTTAGCTGACACTTTGGGCACAGGCGCTGGGCACAGTAATCTTAGGCTCATGTGCTGTCCCATTCTATAGGTTAGTGTTTTTCTACGGAGCTATCCAAGCTTAAAGTAACAGAATTCATTAATTAGAAGAGGTGCCTGAAAACTTTTGGACATATAGTGTATATACATTAAAGAGCTATTAAAGGAAATCTCTGACATGTTTGCAGATAACGTCATATTCCACTCACTTGACACAAAGATTTTCATAAACTAAGGGTGAAATGGGTCATTTTATGAAAAACTGCAAAAGCAAATCACCAGTCTTTTCTTTCATAATGGCACTTAGATTAACTGAAACTGTTGAGGTCCACAAAGATAACATACTGATTTTCAAAAAAGCCTGAAGTCTCTGAAAGACCGTAATGTCAGAATGCTAATGTTTACCATTATTTAATCTCTTAAAAGGCCAGGATGCAAAGTTTTATTACACATTTCTATAACCTAAGAACAGCCCAGCCAGTTTGCATTGAAGTCCCTGTAGTTACTGAGTAATAAGCCTTCATAAGTAATAAGCCTGGGATTTTTATGGGGTTAATTACTCATTTGAACATGTTATCAAGAAGACTGAAATGAAAACCATACTACAAAGGTCATTTTCACGCACAAACTACTGCTAGGAATGCTAGGAATAGCTTTTATGCCATTGCCAGACTAGTTATTTACATAAAAATATAGTATTCATTTCCACTCTACCATGAGACACACTCAAGCACAGATGCTAGCATGAGCAATCATGGCTCCTTTTGAGATAACATTTGTGTTAACAATAGCTTTTTCAACTAACCTTGTAGGTGGTAACAAAATAAATGAATAGTAAAATAAATAGGAAAATATTTTGCTTCAGTTTCATAGACAGACCCAGTTCACTCTGAAGACACTGTAGAAAATTAATGACCATTCCACTATGAAGTTATTGCCAAACTGTCAGAGTTGTCCTTTAGGAGCTGTAAATGCTATATTAATCAAGTTGGTTTCCCAAACATAAGTATTGTGATATAGAAAAATCCATAAAATATAAACATTTATGAACACTTGAGCCTGCATTGTATGAGTGGTCCACGTCTATATGAACATACAGTAAATGTTTATCTGTGCTTGTACATTTAAATATGTATGCATGTCCTGTCCTTCAGTGAGCAGTTGCATGGACAGTACTCACCATGGCAGCGGTGGCTGTGGCCTGGTTCACCTGGTGCTGTGCTGCTTTGATCTTAGCCTGCAGGTTTGCTGGAGGGTGGAAGTATTTGCACTTGTCTCTGGAGCAGCGGCCCTTGATGTAGTCCATACACACGGTCACTGTGTTATCACTCGAGTCGATCATGGTGCTGTCTGCTGGATGGGCGAACCTGCAGTCTGTCTCACCGCGGGAGCAGTTACCACGCTGGTACTCACGACACACCTGTGCATAGACACACACACACACACACACAAAAGCTAGTTATAACGCATATCTTTAATGCTTGGCAGTGTTTTCCTATTGCAACCCAACAGACATGTGTTCATTACAAGCATATTGACACCAGGGGGCAGCAACGCCCACAACATTGACGCTTTTTTGGCACTCAAGACTGTCTCTTGAACAGTGTTTCATGAGAAACTTTCTCTAGAGAGCACTGTGAGCCTGTTCCTTCTAATATACGATATACCCATATTGAAATCTGATATATGCCCACATGCGCAAAGATATAAAGGGTCAGGCATATATTTGAAAATATATGGACATATATGTTGTGTACACATGTAAGGATCACATACTGGACATCTTTGCGTAATATATGGCTCACATATATGTCTGATAGGTGGTGAATACATATATGCATAAGACAGGGATCATAAATACAACCCTGTACTGTTATAATTGTTACTATATTAACTGTTTGCTTTTCAATATTAAATTATTTAAGTGTGTCTGGGAACAATATTCTCATTTGCATGATAAATATATTTTTTTCCTTTATATTTTATATTTTATTGCTTTATTTTATTGCACAGCTTACAGTGTGCATGGTTTTAGAGTTTATGTAGCTATTAAACCATTTTTTTCTCATTAGTTTTCTTATTTTCTTAGGAGGAAGAAACAAAGATGCATAAAAATCTTCTACCACATAACATCAAGCATATTTAATTAATATCTGTGATCCTTATAAATAACGTTTTCTATCGTATTTTGATAAATATATTTGTTACACATACATGTTTGTCTATGTTGATATATTTTTGACCAATGAGCGCACGCCCCCGTGACCTAGGATAATAAGTGGCTTAGATATTTGAAAATGGCCAATTTCTAATAAGTTGGCATATATGTCACATATATGCCCACATGTGACTAAAATAAGCTGGATATAAGGGAAATCCATGGATGCTTATACACATAGTGTATCTGAAATCCATATATTGCCATATATCAGATTTCCATATGACTATACGGTGTATCAGTACAAATGAGTAAGCCTTTTCCACATTCATGCACTATCCATCTCTGTGGGCCTTTCATTCTATCTCTAAAGATGTAGCCTAATTTAGCTTGTAGCTAACTCACAGATTCCATGCTACTATTATCTAGCTTAAATATTGACTTATGTGATGTACAATAATTAACTAAACTGTGTAGAATGTAAATGAGCTTGTAACTAACTCTCCCACCTTTCCATGACTTATTATCTGACTAAAATGTTCACAGTATGTTGGCAAAGTAAAGTAATAAACTAAACTCTCTCTCTAAAGATTGTAACATAGTTCTAGATAACTCTTACACCTTTTCGGGTGATTCCATGAAGGGGGTGCCATTTAGCCTGTAGCTCTTAAAAGTCACCATTTTTGAACATTGATTCTAAGAAAACATTAACCACTCAAAAATGTGTTAACCCATCTTAGGAACAACATCTCATTTTTGAAGAGGTTTCTTTTCTGGCAGTGGCTTAATTGAGTAACAGCAGACTTTTTCAACCATTGAATAAGCAAATACAGGGAATAGGCCTAGTCCTGGACTATACAGCATTTTGAATGGTGGATAATACGGCATTTTTAATGGAGATGAAAGAAAAATGTAGTCCAGGACTAGGCTTAATCCTTGTCTGGGAAACCAACACAAAATGTGGTTAGCTAACATTCATGCTAATGGCCTGATTACATTGAGGACATTCTAATGATTTACTTAAATAAATAATTTACTTTCAGTCAATAATTGTGGTAACAAATTATGAATCTATTATTTTGGGCACTTTTAAATGTGATCTAATCAGTCAATTGCACAATATCATTGAAAATAAAGAAAAAAAGAATGAGAAAACATTCTTACTTCCTCACATGATGTCCAGAAAATAAATTAATGTAAACTACAATGCACATTGTCTTGACCGCTAATAGATGACTCATGAAAAAGGATGCTTCAATCATGAGATGTTAAATGGATTCACATATCAATGCAAAAATAATATGATTTTTGAAGTATTTTAACGGTTATATTTAAAGGTAAATGTAGTTATAGTGGGCTGGGACAGCCACAATTGCTGTTTTCTATGTGCTGTGGTGTTTTATTAGGTATGTATCTAAATTTCTGCATAATTCCATTGTTGAGATAATTAATTTGATAATAAGTAAATAAGTAATTTGAGTGGTTTGATGAGAAATGATGTTTTTACTGGCTTGATTTTTTTACAGTGGTGATAGTAACCAGGATAACTACACTGCAAATATAAGCATTTTGTTTGCTAACTAAAATGACCAGAGAACTTGTGTGTTTTGAGATTTAGATGTTATGTTGTAGAATAGGGCTTAATCTAAAAACAGATTTTTCTTTGGGGACTAGAATGGCTTACAATGCCCTGCATGTACATCTCCACCAACAAAATCTTTTGTCGCAGTTACATCTCGAGCATCATGTGTAACAATTTCATGTAATAACTTCCTGTGAAGTAGCTTTTAGTGGCATTTAACTCTTTAGATGTCTGGTTCCTATAACCACCACTGTGAAAAATTCTTCTCCAGAAAGGCGCATTTTACATCAAACCCCTCAGATGACAACAATGTAACAAAGCATTTAATTACGGAGAAATTCTGAAAAATATGTGGAATTTCCCTTTAAGTTCCTGTAATTTACTAAACTCATCTTGCTCTGTCTCGCTTTTTCCCCATGGTTCCTATTTACTAGCATTTAGTTTATTTTTGGTTGTAGGTAATCCCAGGCCCAGGGGGCTCCATGTGTTTCAGAGGGCCATGAAAAGCTAGCAATTTGGAAATCCCTCAAGACAGTGTGTGAAGAGTTGGTCACGGATGTTTGAACACTGTTTAAAGTCTTGGTAAAATCAGGCAAAAAAAAAGTACTTGTAATAAAGTTGGCTGGGAGAAAAAATAGTCTGACAGCTACAGTCATAGTCTTGAGTGACTTTTCCATTTCCTCCCCAAATTCATCCCTTCATTTAACCACCATTTACTTTTCATTGATGGTGGTTAAATTAAGGGGACTTTAAAAGTCAAAAGTATCCGTCTTTCTTACCTCCAGGCGGTCGGTGCGCAGTAGTTTCTGTGCGGCAGCGGCGGAGGCGGCAGCAGCAGCAGCAGCATTAGCAGAGGAGGGAACGGGTGCTACGCCGGGACTCCCACCGATCAGCACGGGTGCACTGGGCAGAATTTCTGCAGGCATCAGTGCTGGAGACACGGGCCCCAGGTACGGGTTAAACGTAGCTGCGGCTGCTGCTGCTGCTGCACCGGCGTTAGTGGCGAGATTCGGCGTGACGGAGAATAAAGGCTGCAGAGAGAAAGTGAGAGAGAGAGAGATAAAAAGAGAGGGAGAGGACATGAATGAGTGATAGGGATCTACCCTGATTTTCTTTTTGTTCTAATATCAAGTGATATTAATACTAGCATTCTGATATCAGTAACAACTCTGATACTTTTAGTTGTCTTGCGCACATTAAAAGGGAAGATATGTCATTTCTACAGTGAAATTTCAAAATGTTCCTGATTCTCACCCACTTCAGAACTTGGATATTAAAATTCTGACTAAAAGAAAACTCTCAGTATCAAAATTTTTGTAAGGATCAATGCTCAAAAGGATCGGATGGATCGATAATCTGGTATGAATTGACCCTAACCCAAAAGGGACCATTCTACCTTTTCATTAGTTCAAACTGCAGACCAACAGTTAAAAAAAAAAACAATTAAGGATTCAGACCTTTGATATTTGCGAGGCTTATGTTATGACCTATTTAAGTTTAAATTGATCTATTTAAAAGTATAAAAAAGTGAACTTGCTGGTAGTTGGACTTTTGCACAGTGCAGAGATGCAGGCAATTCCACAGACCCTTAATGTAAGAAATTATCTTGTTATTCCTATTTGCACCAGGGCTCTTGCCCTTTCCTCTAGAATAAATTCCATACCTTCTCAAAGCTGCTTTGAGGTTGCTTAAACTCTCTAAAATTCTGTTCTTTTTCTCACTATTCGTAAATGTCAATTAACTGCAGCACGGTGAAGGAAATCATGAAATATGGCTGCGTCAGAGTAGATAATAAGTGAATATCCACAGACTTTGATTAGTTTGTTTGCCTGCAGCAGATTTGCAATTGGCATCTTGAATCTATATTACACTGACAACAAAAAATCAAAAATAACACAGATTTTCTGTACTTTTCCAACTCTGGACAGGAGTGCTAGTATGTCACCTGCAGAAGATATTAGTGGTTAAATTGGAGCCACATGACTAAAATGGAATTGCTGGAAGTACACTAACTTGGACTGGCCTGTTTGAACTTTGGGCACTCTTTACTGGTTTGTGGAGGGAATTTAAGCATTTCTGTAATTACATTATTCTGCGCAGACTGTCTTCTATTCTGAAACATCTGGGAATGGAGCAGAGGAGGCGTGGTTAAAGTGGCAGGGAAATAAAGAAGACACTGGGAGCTCGCCTTTGATGCTGAAGTGGGCTAATGTGATGTTTTGGATAATATTGTAATGTCTGTCTTCTGACCAAGGACTGAACGGTCAAGAAGAAACACAGTGCAGTTTAATAACATACTACACTCACAGTATCCAACAGGTAAACACAGTGATGGTAGAGAAGTATTTACCACCACTAAAAAGTTTGCAATCACTGTTCGATAGAAAGTGTTTAATAAAGTAAACTCAATGTGAAGATAATGTATAAAATAATCCTTAAAGTCACAGGTTTGAAATAATTATCATAAATATATACATATTAATAAGTAACGGATTAAGGAACGAACAGATTAAGAGTGATGAACAGAGCAGAAGATGATTCATAAAGTGGCAAAAAATGTTTTTTTTTTTGTTGTTGTTGTTTTTTTCCACCATATTTTAAGATTTAAAAGCCCCACTGGGATATTTGGGGCGGTTTAAGTTGACGTCCTTGAGCATCACTGTCACATCTTTCGTTGCTTTGAGAAATCAATCCGCCAAGTTTCACCACAGTTGCATTTCGTACCTCCTCATTTTTCATAGTAGTTTTTCTGTTGTACTGACTTACTTATTTACAATGATTTATCTGCAGGCAATGCAGCTCTAAAACACACACTGATTAAGACATTACAGCGCTGCTTCTCCTTTAAGAGTGGCCGAGCTGGAGGGGAGCCTCACCATTGGCTGAAGCTGGCTGCCAGGCATGATGGCATTGGCTAGCTGCATCTGCTGGGCGAGCATGGCCATGTTCTTCTGCTGGATCAGGTTGTTGCGTCCGTTTATCTCCAACTGCGTCTTCAGGTGGGGAGGCGGGTGCAGGTACTTGCAGTTCTCTCTGGAACAGCGACCCTGAAGGAAAGAGAGAAAGAGACAGGAAAGAGAGAGAGGAAAACAGAGAGAGTCGATGAGAGATGTTAGAGAGAGCAGAAAGAGGGGGAGAGAGAGAGAGAGAGAGAGAGAGAGATACATTAGTTACATTACAGTCATTTAAATTGAAGTCAATAGATCTTTTGTTTTAGTTGCTAATGGAATCCAGTAAATAAGCCATAATTCCTTTGTCATGTATTGCCTCTCTATCACTTTTTACAGCGGATGTGATTGATCCAGCTCTAAGCCAGTTTCCCTGTAGGACCGTGGTGAGAGAGAGAGTGCAGTGTCATCAACAAAACAGAGCTGTCAGGCTTTGTGCAAAATGACAGTATTGATTCGTGATGTGTCTTTCTGTTCTGTCTGTGGGGTAGTAATGCATCTGATTTGTGTATAGATCTGTGCCTGAGTGACCCACACGTTCTCTAAGTTCACATCTCTTTTAAAGGGATTTTGTATGGGTGTTAGGGCACGTTCACATTCGGCAGGTTTGGGTCAATTAAAGTGAACAACGCTGCCATTTGAACCCTGGTGTAGCAGCGGAGAGCCCCCGAGGAAGTCACTTCTAAACAAACTCTGGTACTCATTTGAAATATGAATGCAAACTTAACCACAGACATTTAAACAGACCAAACCATCATCAGTTCTCTACCTATCTTCCTTGGTATCTGTAGAAGATGAATTTTTGATGCTGTTTTCCCACATGAGTTTTAGCATCTTTTTATGAGATCTGAATTGGTTGATCAGTTGTCAAATACTGTAGGTACCATCATTATGAACGCTAAGTGAACTAGAACTAAAATGGTATAGACTAAGGCAACTGTACTACAAATGCACCCTAAATATGCTGATGTCGGGACAAAACCGTATATCCAAAAGTGGTAACTGAGCAGGAGAAGCTGAAGATGATGCCACGATAACTGGGAAAGCTGTACAGCATTGAGAATGAAGTTATAGTTAAATTAACATCCAAAACGCCTCATTTTCTATCAAATCTTGAGACAGTTGATGATGACATGAAAAACTTTAGATAATTACAGTATATTTTCTATGATTTAATACCGCCTGGTGTCTAGCTTACAGTATTCCTACACTGTAAAAGTTATTTCAATTAAATAACAACAATTATTAATATAATTTGACATTGACAAATCAAGCATTTCTGGGTTGATAACCAATAATGATAACCAATACCAATGCCAATACCAATACGAAGAAGCAAAATTTAGCGAATATTTACCTCATTATCTCATCATATCTCACTGTAATCCATATATGAAGTGCAGTGTGCATAAGACAGGTCATTTTAAAATAGCCATGACATAGCTAAAACAATATCAATTGTTTTAATCTCAGTTTCAGCTTCAGTGAATAATATGCATATATGGCTGGCAGCACTGTATGAAGAAAAAGTATTCTTCTAATAGCTCACAGCCAAGGCAATGCTCTCACCACAGGCTGGCTAACAGCAAGTGCCTGTTGTGTTCCTGGCTGACCCAGAGCGAGTGTCCTGTGTCTGCCTCTCATTCTGGATGCCATCCATTTAGCTTCGCCCCTCAGGGCCTCAGTGAACTGGAAAACCCTTTACTATTGAGAAACTGAAAATCACTATCCGTCTACAGCTATTAATACACCCATCTGATGCTCTGTCTGTTGGCCAGCTTGTCGGACTGAGACTCGAGGGGGAGTTTAGGTCAGAATAGACCCAATCAGGGACTGGTCTTATGTGTAGGCCACATTAGAATGATAGAATGAACAACTGAGGCCTTCAAAAACCTGAACACTAAAATATACAATAGGTACATATACTCATATACTACAAAGCTACTACTGGGCGCAGACATGACAGTGATTTATCAGTTTCTTTTTCATGTACCTTTTTTACCTTATTAGTGTATGTTTTTGTTCATTTTAAGCACAATCCATCCTGTCCTAGTAATTAAGAGACAAAATTCGAATTGACTGAAGCATAGTGACTTTTGTCAGTGTGTACCACCAGGGGAGGAAAAATAACATTAACCAATAAAGTCATGGGTCAGAGACCCTCCGTAATATGTCACATGAAAAAAAAATGTGTTATGATTTCTGATTTAGGTTGAATCGGTTAGTTGCAAACTACTCCTGCAGACACTCAGTCGTTCAATTTGGCACTGGACTGGTAGTGGTAGCTCATCAGTCAGAGAGTTAATGATTAATGTAGATAATGATTTTTTTCTATGATACCGTATATTAATTTACCAACTATTCTTTGATTAACTGACTAATTACATCATAATTGCACCATAACATTTTAAGTTTCATCTGTGCAACAGACGATTTCTGCTTCTATGATGAAATAAAACAACAGAAACCCTATCGCCCCCAACACTCCCTGTAGTGCACTGCAGTCTGCTTTTGTTTTCCATGTAAACAACATGTCAGCTTTTTCCATAATTTGCATCACGTACCAAGTCAGTTTGGACAAAAATTACCGGCTGGATGACTATAACAATAACCTGGTCTGTATGCTGCAGTGGATGCAGCTGTTCAGTCACGTCACAGTGAAATTGAATGTTCCATGCTGAGTCACGATGAACTTTTCCCCACAATGTCATAAAATAACGTAATAAAGAAACGAAGATGCAGTACCTCCCTCATTCATCTCTCACTAACTCTCTCATAGCTGCTATAATATGTGAAATGTTATATGAAATGCTTATATATACATATATAATATGTATTTATTATTTTCCATTTGAAAACAGCCTGAGAAATTGATTTTGGCCAAAAATGTAAGCATTGTTATATAAAATGCATATATATATATATATATATATATATATATATATATATATATATATCAAAGAGAATAAGGAAATTTGAGATGATGTGCTGAATCATTTCCTATGGAACTGTAATCAAATTTACACAATTAATGATCAGCCTATCACCGGCTCTCAAATCAAGAAGCCCAAGGCTGCTGGCCTAACAGGTAACCAGAACGAGCCCACCATGCTATTAGAAAAGGAATCATTGCTGCTCTGATTCAGTTTCCCAAACCCAGTGTGATGAGTCATCATTAGACGCCAGAGCAAGAATCAATACAAGCACTTTCACTACTGCCTCACAGTGAATCCTACAAAACAACAGTGTTGGGAAACCAGACTTTTTTATGATGGAGGGGTTTAGGTTCCTGCTAGCTTTCCGTTCTGTCATACCAATGTCACTATCAGATACACCTGACCTGCCCATGCTCCGCCCACAAATGTATTTATCTTAGAAGCGGCTGCGAGGTTGGGCAAGGGTAGGGTAGCTCCTAAACTCTGGAATAGTATTCCATAGATGTTTAGTAAGGCAAGATCACTGAAGTGTTCTTAAATCCAGAATAGAAACATATTTGTTTAGACTATGCCTAAACTGTAAAAAAAAAAAAAGTAAAACCTTAAAGTTGCCTTAAAATTTTGAGATAATTATGTTTAAAATTAAATTAACTCAAATTTTAAGGCAACTAGGTTATTTATTGTTCTGTATTTTGCATTCTTTTAACTTATTATATGATGTTCAAGTAACTCAAATTACTTATTTTATTTTATCTTTTCAATGTTTTACTTATAAAAAACAAAAAAAAACTGTGTAAAGACTTGCATTGCATTTCTGAATAAGCAAATGCATGAACGGCAATATAATTCACACATTGTTACTGTGATAAACCCAGTCAATCATAAGAATGCAAACTGCACTCCGAATGAGCTCTTGGAAAAAATCACAGTCTACCATTAAAGAAGCCTCGTGCATATTTTACACAGTGATAGAAAACACATTAGAACATAGAAAGCTCAGATTCCCCATGCTGATACATTCCACTGTTGCTACTGTGGCATCGTAACATCACTGAAGGCAGATTTAATTCTTAGAATGGGTCGCCAGCAATACTCTCGGTTCTTCTGGTTAATCAGAATGGGCTTTTTGCTACTGTTCTATAAAGCTTGTCTAACGTCGCAACAGTAGTAACATCAGAACACATCTGTGGGCGGAGCATGGGTACCGAAAAGGTAGCTGTGAAAGTTGCTTTTATGATAAACACCCCTTGCAATCACAATATACTGAGCTTCCTTAAATGATTCACAGAAAATGTTGATGCATCTGAGTTGCTTCAGAGTTTATTGGTGTGTCAGTCATGAATGCCTGAGTATCACTATGTAAGATATATAAGTCATTTCAGTTAGATAATGTCAGTGAACTGATGGTGTCATTTTACAAAGGGCACTAAAGTCATTGACCTACAAGTAGGTAAAGTTTGCGGTGCTCTTCTGGGGCAGCTGCTATACGCTGGTGCACCCTGTTCCAGTTAACACAGGAAGGAGCTTGGTTAGCACTGAGAAGCGTGGCCTATAACACAATAGTAGCAGACAAAAACATCCACCACCACAAAAACAGGTAGCACTAAAAAACAGCCAGCAGTAGAAGTCCTATGACTCACTACCAACAGATCAATGCAGACTCAAGTGTTAGTTCTGGAATATTCTGTGTATTGTAGCTCTTTAAGGCTGCCCTTAGCCACTGTGCTGTCAGTCTCTTGAATTAATCACTATGTTTATGCAGATGGGAGAAAATTCTAGAATATAAAGCAGAGCCCGGCGATGGGGCGTTTGGCTGCAGATGGTCGCTTCTGCTGCTGAGGCAGCGCTGCAACCTGCGTCTACATTCAACACATAGCCTCTTCCACCACCATCCTTAATCCATAATCCATAAATCAAACACTATACTAACAAATCCAGAAAACAGAACATCCCACAAACCACTGGTGCAGCAAATCTGAGCAAGCAAATGCGGTAAACTCCGGCTCAGCTGCTATGCTCGCAAATGAACAAAAATCAGTGTCATAAGTCATACCAGCACAGTAATACATTTCAACTCCAGACAAATATAATATTTTTCAGTTCTGCTGGCTATGGATTTTTATATTTCTGAATATCTGTTGTGGTAGTTTATGACAAAAGCAG